GCCCCGACCGGGACTAGAACCCGGTGTGCTGGCGCCGCAAGGCGGAGGATTAGCCTATTGAGCCGCAGCGCTGGCCACAAGTCCATTTCTTGTTCCTGCTCTGGCACTGTCCCTGTGTTCCCAGACCCAGCTGTACTGGGTAGGTGAGGTGCGCCCCGCTGCCAACACTGCGAAGCTGGATCAGGCATTTGGGAACTTAGTTTTCACATGAATCTCTCTTAAAGAAACATTTCATCTTCATAGAGGCAACTAACACCTAGAACTTAGCAAAAACAAAATACAAGTAATAACATGTGTTGTCACTCTTTTTTACAAGTAAGGATGCACTCAAAATATCGGGATGGGGACATGTGCAAACAAATAAGAGGTGCGCCCAATCATAAAAATGTTCCACCAACAAAGCTGGGTGCAAACATTCTACTGGTATCAGCTTAGGGGGCACACACACACATTTCTACTTGTATAGCTTCTAGTCACCTGAAACACAAGCAGGGAACTCATTTCTGAGACAACAGAACAGTTAAAAACTGGGCACACGGTTAGAACAAAAACTAGGTACTGACTTAAAAAACTGGCTTAAACTATTTTAATCATAATCTCATTTTAATGTCAACAGATTAACTAGTCTTAGGAATTTAAAGAACTCTCCAATTCCTTTAGAAACGCTGGGCTCCAAAGCTATACAAGACCTTGCAGAGAAAGCAAATCTGAGTTTTATTTTGCAATTCTTTACTTCTTTTGCCACAGCACTGTCATGGACTCTTTTGATAGCATCTTCAATTTCCCTGGCTAAAGGTTTGCCGGTAGATACACAAACTCTCCTTTCAATGCAGTGACTTTAATGGATATACAAGCAGGAACTGTTGAAAGCATATACAGAGGATCTCCAAACCAGAAGTAACCTGCCCCCTCTGAGAAGTCTGTGCTCCTGGGAGACTTTCTCACCCCATACAGGTCGGGAATAGCTGCCACCTCCTTGCCCCCAGAGCACAATGTGTCATCTCCCATCACATCACAGCAGGACTGCAAAAGGAATTGGTTTGTTTTTGCCACCAGACCACAAACAGGGATTAGCACTTCATGAGACAAAAAGTTTCAAAAAGAAGAGAAAACTTATTTTGACATTGTATTATTTGAAACATAATAGACTTACCAGTCAGTGATATGTTATGACTCTCCAAGGAAAGATTAGAGTACTTTGCCATCATTTCTTCTCTGACAGGTAAACTTGTAAAAGTTGAATCTGTAAGAAAAACAATTTGTGACTATACATTCTTATTGAGACTAAGTGACTACCTAAAAATCAGTTTGTAACAGATGGAAAATACCACTGTTTAATCAGGAAAAAATAGTGATCTCAGAGTGCTTTCAGTTTTATATTCAAAATATTTAAAAATACACTTGGCAGCTAATGGTGACCAAATTTCTCATTTTTTAACCAAAAAGTCCTTAATGATTGACACCAGATGGATTTATTTATTAAAAGCTTCCATTTTCTTATTCTACAGATAAATTCAATAGTATAGGATATAAATATTTTTATTTAGTATTGTATTTTTAGTATTGTATTTTTATCTTTAGTATCTTTATAAAGCAAAATGAACTGAAGATGTTGAGAAAGGTAAGAGTGCCCGAACGGGAAGTGAATCAAGAAGCAGAGAGGAGGTGAGGCCAGAGAGGAATCTGGAGGCCAGAGAGGAATCTGGAGGCCATAATAAAACCATGAGCAAAATGGTTTTTGCTGGGCATTGAGCTGCTCTGCTATTTGGTTTCCAGCTATGGCTACACTGTTTGATGTCTACCAACTGACTTCCTGTTTCCTGTCACTGCTCTCTCCTTTTGAAAATTTCATTAGAGAAACAAGGTTCCATTTCCAACCAAACACTCTTCCAGAATGCTTCTGACATGGCCTACTGTTCTTTCATTTTGGAGCCCAGATCCTACCACGCAAGAAAATGAGCCCAATGCAATCACTTAAGTCAGAGCAGTGGAGAAAAAAGCGTGGCTGCAGTCTTTCAGTCTTCCATCCAATTTAAAATAAACCCAAGTCTTTTTTATTGCACATGTGAGGGAAAAAAAAGCTCTACTCAGAAAGTTATTTTTAGTGCAAGATTAGATTTCCAGTTCTTTCCTTTTCTTATATGCACGAAAAATGTAATCAAAGTTGGGGAATCACTTATGTTGCTTCAGTTGCACACACGGCATTTACAATATTGCCCAATAAAAATAAAACCGTGCCTATCAGAAACTAAGTCTCCAATAGGCTGTATTCCAAAGGTTTAATAACCTCTCATGCAGGGCCGGCGCCGCGGCTCACTAGGCTAATCCTCTGCCTAGCGGCGCCAGCACACCGGGTTCTAGTCCCATTAGGGGCGCCGGATTCTGTCCCGGTTGCCCCTCTTCCAGGCCAGCTCTCTGCTGTGGCCAGGGAGTGCAGTAGAGGATGGCCCAGGTGCTTGGGCCCTGCACCCCATGGGAGACCAGGAAAAGCACCTGGCTCCTGGCTCCTGCCATCGGATCGGCGGCCATTGGAGGGTGAACCAATGGCAAAGGAAGACCTTTCTCTCTGTCTCTCTCTCTCACTGTCCACTCTGCCTGTCAAAAAAAAAAAAAAAAAAAAAAAAAAAAAAAAACCTCTCATGCAGCTCTGGAAGCTGAAATGCAGTTGCTCATAAAATAATCCTTTAATAACATACTGAAATCATGCTACCCTCTGACAGTGGTTATACAGGAAAATACACCCTGAGCTTCTCACTGGGCTTTCAGGGATACAAGACTTTTCATCCACCTACATCTAATATTCATCCAGTCATTCAGATTCATTTTCATATCCTTACTCTCTTTTTTGCACCCACACATACACATGCACACAGCTAAAAAGGCTCTCATTCTTTTCACAATGAAAATTAATTTTTTTCCATTTGTGGGCACATTGTGATTTAGAGATTGTATTAAAGAGAAAACATCTCAGGAATACCCAGGCAAAGCCACTCATTTATGAATGGGAAACCAGGAGAGGGTGACTGGCAATTATCTCTGAACCTCGCAAAAGCATAGCTTGCTTCCTTGCTAAGGAGTTCTCATTTCTTGATCCAGCCCACCACAGAAGAGAAGTCCATCTTGAGTGTTCTGATCCACTTCTTACCCCTTGAAACAAGCCCATAATCCTTTGAATTTGTCAGTCATCATTTGCTATTATTATTATCACTACCAGTAATAACAAGAGCAGCAAAGCTACAAAAGTGCTTTCGGTTCTTCTTCTCCCTATTCACTTAAGTAAGGAATTATACAAGTATATATAATTTCAACAACCTTGTGCCAAAAGAAACATCCTTTAATTCCATTTTACACAAAATTTTAGAAGTACCTTTGTTTTGGCCGGCACCGGGGCTCACTAGGCTAATCCTCCACCTAGCGGCACCGGCACACCGGGTTCTAGTCCCGGTCGGGGAGCCGGATTCTGTCCCGGTTGCCCCTCTTCCAGGCCAGCTCTCTGCTGTGGCCAGGGAGTGCAGTGGAGGATGGCCCAAGTACTTGGGCCCTGCACCCCATGGGAGACCAGGAGAAGCACCTGGCTTCTGGCTTCAGATCAGTGCAGTGCGCCGACTGCAGCGCACCAGCCGCGGCAGCCATTGGAGGGTGAACCAACGGCAAAGGAAGACCTTTCTCTCTCTCTCTCTCTCTCTCACTGCCCACTCTGCCTGTCAAAAAAAAAAAAAAAAAAAAAGAAGAAGTACCTTCGCTTTGGAAAATTTTCACTGTGAGAGGCAGACATTTATTGTGTGGCTAAATGATACTCAGAAGTACCTAAGCCTTTAGAGTCTAGATTGGCCTCATTGTAGTATCTGCCACGGGATTCTGCTTGCTGCACATTCTGGAAAAGTTGTGAGTTTTTTTACATACCAAAATTATCTGAGGGCATAAAAATGGTTTTCCAGCTAATATGCAGTTTTGAGTAAACATGCTCTGAAAATTTGAAAAAAAAAAAAAAGAAGAAGTACCTTCATATAAATCACAGAAAGCACTGATTCATATATGCTTGATGCTGCATACTTGGGTCTTTGGCACTCATGTGAGAGGCCCAGATTGAGTCTGAAGTTCCTGGCTTCAACCTGGCCCAACCCCAGAGGTTGCAGGCATTTGGAGAGTAAACCAACAGAAGGAAGACCTCTCCCCCGCCCCCATCTTGCTCTGTCTCTCTGCCTTCCAAAAAGAAATGAGTAAATCAAAATTTTAAGACATGGGGCCAGCGCTGTGGCTCACTTGGTTAATCCTCTGCCTGAGGCGCCGGCCATATGGGTGCCGGGTTCTAGTCCCAGTTTCTCCTCTTCTAGTCCAGCTCTCTGCTGTGGCCCAGGAAGGCAGTGGAGGATGGTCCAGGTGCTTGGGCCCTGCACCCACATGGGAGACCAGGAAGAAGCACCTGGCTCCTGGCTTCAGATAGGCGTAGCTCTGGCTGTAGTGGCCATCTGGGGAGTGAACCAATGGAAGGAAGACCTTCTCTCTGTCTCTCAATCACTGTCTAACTCTATCTGTCAAATAAATAAAAAAAATTAAAAAATTTTTAAGACAGAAAGAAAAATAAGCTTCACAGAGAGGGGAAATCTAGGTCCTTCCAGTTTATACAAGTTTTTGTGGCCATTTCCATTTGCCAGTTCATATATTAAAAGCACAAACAGCTGTAAAATCAACAACACCTGGACCCTATCTTTACCTTCCCTTTAAAACACAAATACTGATCAGGCTCCAGTTTCAACTGAACACGTCCCAAGTGCAAAATAACACAAATAACTATGGCGATTTTTGCCTTGGAAAGTCCCTCTGAGAGGCAAGATACACAAATGCTTAGAGTGAAAAAGCAGGGCAGCCTACAGATGGTATTAAAAGAGTACAAGAGAGAAGCTCTTTGTTTAGACAAGACATTTTTTAGTCAAAAAAGTGAGACTATAAACCTTACTGCTGCCAATAGGAGGACAGCTTGGCAGAAGGCTGATTCAGCTAACGTTGGTGTTTAAAAGAAATTGGCAAGAGAAACAGGCAGATGTGGTTTGAATAGTTCCCCCTGAAAGGATTAGAATGAGTCACAAAAAGAAGTATAAAACGAAGGGGCAGGAATTTTGTGTGTCCTAGTCCAAGTTCTGCCAACAGCTTGTTACTTGGGGGTTTCAAAATGTGATACGCCCAGTTCAGTGCTTTGGCAATAAGTTTCTATCATAAACCTTCTTTCATAGGGAGAAAAGGGAGGATCAGAAAATCTGTATAAATATTGACTGATAGTGCCAAGATCATAACACTCATTCCTCAAGTTCTCACAATCACCCCTTTCTTAATCATTGCTGGAAGCTTTCCATCTGGCATTCTTTTATAGGTAGTGGCAAAGATGCCAACACAAAACAGTAACATCTAAAAATCATCCCAGAGTTTAAAACACTTTTTTTTCCTTCTACAGGGGAGATGGGACATGAAATCTGCACACTATCATTTCTACTTGAAGCATTAAGGTAACATTTTCACATATTTAATTTGGGGGCTTCATTTAGTTGAAGTAAATAGAGAAGGAAAAGAGAGCAAAAAAACACTAGAATATTGCCTTAGGTTTTAAGATTTGCTTTTATTTAAATCATAAAAGAAGTAACAAGTTAATCCTCAGCTTGCAGTGCTGGCATCTCACATGCGCATTGTTCCACTTCTGATCCGGCTCCCAGCTAACGCACCTGGGAAAGCAGAAGATGACCCAAGTACTTGGGCCCCTGCATCTACTTGGGAGACCTGGAAGAAGCTCCTGGTTACTGGCTTCTGCCTGGCCCAGCCCCAGTCATTGAGGCTTTGGGGAGAGAACCAATTGGATAGAAAATCTCTCTCTCTCTCTCTCTCTCTCTCTCTCTGTATGTCTGCCTTTCAAATAAACACATAAATCTTTTTTTAAAATGAGTAAATATTCTCTAATTCCTCCAAAATCCCTTTAGTTTAAAATCTTGGAAGTGACTGAGTTTCACATATAAAAAAATTTTTAAATAAGCTTATAATTAAAATAAATATCATTCCCTCTCTTTATCTCTCTCTCATTTTTGTATAAACTGCCATGGTATGCATAATTAAAACTATTTTAATCTTCATTTTAACATTCAGATGTATATTATTATAAGCATGCAAAACAACTACAGAAATACTACAACTTAGGAATTGATAATATATGCCATTTTTTTTTATTGGACAGGCAGAGTTAGACAGTGAGTGAGAAAG